AAGATTCCAATTATTAACAAAGAGCAGTTTCTGTTCTTTACACCATGACAATAACCATTCATTTAAAGCAAAAAGTCTACTGAACCTTTTGTGTCCTCGTCGAAACGTGGGAACGTCCTGACACGATGATCGTCGTCGTGGGCGATGTGTTGCGAATTAACGTTTCTGCATTTGACATTGAGAGCATAGGTCGTAATTTAGATATATTTTTAAGATGGAAAAATGCAGACATTGCCTTTTTTACAAGAAACACATTTTAAAGATGAAAAGGAAGCTTTGAAACTTAGACGTGACTGGGTCTGACATGTGTTTCATAATTCTGTGTCAAGCAAGAGGAGTGGAGTAGCCATACTAGTGAGGAAGAAAATACATTTTGTATTGATGAATCAACACAAAGACAAGGAAGGTCGTATACTCTGCATAGAAGCAAAGCTCATCGATGTTAAAGTAGTGTTTTGTAATGTATATGCACCAAATAAGGAGGAACTTGAACTCTTTCATGAGGTAAACAAAATATTAGCCAACCTCGAGGGACATGTTATACTTGGAGGTGACTTTAATCAAACTATGGATGGCATCCTGGACAGAAGTCAAAACAATATCAGATCAATCCCCAGAGATAGGGCTGCTATTCACACTCTTAAAGATGACAATGGATTAACAGATATTTGGAGACTGGTTAATCCACGAGAACGGGAATACACATTCTTCTCAAATTGTCATAAAACCTTTTCAAGAATTGATTATTTTCTGATCTCCAGTTCTTTAATTGACTCTGTTGCTGATTGTATAATTGAAGTAATAGGATTGACAGATCATGCACATGTGGAATTAAAATTAGAAGTGAATGTAGATTTTAAGAAACGGGGGAGGTGGAGACTAAATACCTTTATGCTCGAGGATAAGGTCTTTGTAGACTCAGTGCAGGATGACATAAAGATGTTTTTTTAACTTAATATTGGGTCAACTCAGAGATTAGCAACAGTATGGGATGCCTGTAAAGCATTTATCAGGGGGAAATGTATTGCTTATGCAAGTAGAAAAAAAAAAGAAAGGGTAAGAAAAGTGAAA